TTCAAAAGTGGGGTCCACAAACCGCTTCTTCTTGTTCTTCTGAGGACTGGCCCTGGTTATGGTATATTTGAGAGCAAAGTACGCATATAGTACATTACTTAACACAAATATATATATATATGTTGAACCTTATCAGATTTCACCATGGTAGATTCCGTACTTGCTCAAATTTGAGGCAGAAAATGAGTAAACTCATCAAACAAATCAGGATGGTCCCGGAAAAGGATAGCCACCTACAAGATAAAACATATAAAACTAAGACAAGGGAAACTAAAGCAATAGAAAAATATTATACCCCCAGTTGGCTACGATAATACCTCCTCGTAAACCTTAGTAATCGACTTGTTTTCATTTCTATAGCAGTTCAAAACGTCTAAAAATGATTTGAATGGACGATCATCTTGCGGAAACCTTGCCTTTAGAAAAGAAAAAAAAGTGATACTTTAGAGGCAAGTAACGAAAGATTAGAAGGAGAATGTTAAACATAGCTTGGGTTAGTTGCACCACACATCAAAATCTCTACCTTGATCTTGGTTACAAAACTAATAGCTTCCCAAAACTCAAATATGTTCTTCGGTGGAGGTTGGTCATCCTCGGGTAGGAGGGTTATCTCGAAACCCTTTGGCAAGAATGTATTGAAACCCAAAATCAAGTCTGGATGCCCCTTGAAGAGTACTTTCACTTTAGATATGACATCACTAGTATCAATTCTATGCAATGATAACACAATCGTAATTAGTTACCTAGAAATCATAACTAAGAGTTGATACTAATGAAATAGCAAAAAAAAATCTATTAACACGGAGAAAAACACACAAAAAATACCTCTGAGCTTGGAAGTCCTTCATGAGGACAAGAAACTCATCATATATTTCACGTTTATCTTGTACTTTATCCTTCACATTCTTGAGGTATTCAAGTGCATCACTTGTGGTAAGCTTTTGTGCAACCATGTTTTGAAATTGCTTAGAGTCTTCATTAGAAAAACAATAAGGAGTTAGACTTCATTAGCACAAAAGCATCAAGAGATCACAATTTGAACTACACTAGAAAGTGGAAATCAATGGAAACAAAGTAGATCTAGCAATAAACAAAATAAAAGAAATGAATCTATATATATATATATTGAAATAATCAAAGTGGAGGTCATCCGAACTAGAACAAAAACAATGCCGATCTAGCAATTAAAGAACAATCATAGGAAAATCGAAAAAGGAGTTCGAAGAGATCAACCAGAAAATATGATCTTAACATAAACCTCTGATTATTTCACATATACGGTCGATA